AGATGACACATGTAGTTGTTTATGACCTTAATAACCTTACATGTGTATTAGTTTAATGTAAACTAAACAGTTTTTCCTTTATTGAAAAATAGGTGGTCCATTTTTGGACCACCGGTCCTCAAAGGGTGAAAGAGAGAGAGAGAGAGAGAGAGAGGGTAGAAAAGAGAAGTAACTGTTTTTTTGTATTCTACTATGTTAACCTTAAGATGACAATCTCTACAAACAGTAGTACAGTTTCTATGACGAATAAAAGTTTACATACGTGCCCTTCACAATCATCTAGAGTTTGATTCCTATCTATCCTCTTTCAAATTGCGAACTTTTAAAATACACCACTAAACCGACTTATCTTCAATATTAGAATAAATTGTTTTATTTTATAGGTAATTGGTGAAATAATTGCTGGTGTTCTTGTTGGTCCATCAGTGTTGGGTAATTGGAATGCATGGGCTACAAAGATCTTTCCAACATCATCTTGGAACTATTTTACACTTGTTGGCAATATTGGTCTGATATTATTTATGTTCAATTTGGGTTTAGAGTTAGAACAAAAATCTCTTAAACGTCAGTGGAAATATTCATTACCCATTGGTTTATTATCCATATTGGTACCATATGCAGCGGGTGCAGCGTTAAGTGTCTATCTCTATGAAATTAACGGAAGAGATAATTTCAAAGATCCAGATCGAGCAGCATTCACCTTGTTCGCAGCATCAGCTATGTCGTTTACAGCATTTCCCGTCCTTGCTGCCATTCTAACGGCCACCGGCCTATTGAATGAACCAATTGGAGCACTTACAATAAGTTGTGCAGCTTTGAACGATTTACTAGGTTGGTGTTCATTAGCTGTAGCTGGTGCTTTTGCAAAAGGAACAGGAATCGTTGGACTATGGTAAGTTTTTATCTACCAAAAAGAATATACTATTTTTTTACTAACCGACAAATAGTTTGAAAGCATGAGATAAATTCAGGGAAATAAGATAGATGTTCATCTGTTAATATAGTAAAACTATTTATTTTTTAGGGTAATTCTGATTGCAATTGGTTATGTATTATTCATGTTTTTTATTGTTCGCACCATTTTAGTTAAAATTCACGCTTATTTAGTAGCAAAAAATGATGAAATGAATCGAATGTTTTTGATTGGTGTTTTTCTCGTTCTTATCGCATCAGCCATGTTTTGTGATTTACTTGGCATTCATTCGTTTTTCGGTGCATTTATTGCTGGAATTATTTGTCCAAAAACGGGTAAATTCAACAGTGAACTATTTCCAAAATTAGAACTTGTTACAGTCGAATTATTATTACCATTATTTTTTGCATCATCCGGTATGCGTACAGATTTGGGCAGTCTCAATGATAAATTTTACGGTGGTATTACGGTACTGATTTTTATTATTGCACTCATAGGCAAATTTTTGCCAGCATGTTTGGCAACAAAAATTATTACAAAACGTGATTGGACATTTTGTTCAGCCGTAGGTGTGTTGATGAATACAAGAGGTTTAGTAGAACTAATTGCATTAAATATTGGACTACAATTAAAAATTCTTTCACCTCGTATATTCACTATGTTTATTATAATGGCTCTTGCTACAACCTTTATGACTTGTCCATTATTGTGGGTAATTTATTTAAGAAAATATACACCAGAAAAAGAAATTTTAGAACAAAATGGTGGAACAATGGTATTACATCAAAATCAAATTCTGCATGAAGAAGAAAAAATTAATCATACTGAAGAAGTTCAAGAAGAAAAGCTAAAACAAAATGGTTTTTCACAGTCTCCAGCACATGATATAAAAATCCAACAACATATCGAACGATTTTAGTCTTTAAACTCTTTAACAGGTCACTAATCTTTTTCTTTTTATACACAGTTATTTTATACTTGTATATTGTTAATAATTTACAATTATTACGTGTTTCTTTTTCTCGTTTGCTTGGTGTGAGATCTGATTTTTTTTCTCTTCTCAAATTTTAACGATAATCTGAGTATGCAATAATTAAACTACGATAATATATATAGTAGTAGTTGATTTCTTTGACAATGAATAGGATTTAAAAATCTGGAAAAATTCAATGAATAGTTCTTTAATTGTGATGATTGCTTAACAAAGACTAACATTAGAAGTTAGCTTAGTAGTAAGTTTTCGTTATGATAGCCGATGAAATGGATGGAGAACGTTTCTTTTTCAACTCACTTCTTGTGAATAGATCTTTACGCTTCATTCAAATAGTATTATTAAAAAGTATTCGAAGTCTATATCATAGTGTGTCCAATCGTCTGCACAAGTTAACAAGAATTTTCAAGATTTTCATCAGTAAAGTGGTTGTCACAATGCAAGATTCGACATGAATTGTAAAAGAATTAAAAAGGAGTCTGATATTGCGTCCCAAAAAGAAATTTATATTTTTTTACATCGCAACTTTTATATGGCTGTTCCAACCAGTTCTTCGAGTGCTCAGAAGTATGTTTTCGGTGAGCCTTCGCCGAGCGCCCGAGCCCCCAGAAAATGGCACTTGAGGCCCTCGATATAAGCTTTCGAGGGTATTTCCGAGCTCTCGTCGCACCCTCGAGAGAGCGAGGACTCGAAAAAAGTCCCGAACATCTCTATTCGACGGCTCGAAATTTTCCTTGAGGGCTCGCTACCTATCTGAAATCCGAGGGCTCGAAATCGATACCCCGCGAAAACTTATATCGAGGGTCCGAAGTGCCATTTTCCGAGGGGTCGAGCCCTCGGCGAAGGCCTGTTTTCTAGTATCCGCACCCCCCTAACGGCTTTTTTCTTCTGCATGGATATAAATTGAGGGAGGAATCTTTTAATGTGTCAGTCCCTCGCGTACATGATCAAATGCTAGACAAATAAATTTGTATAAGTTTTCAAGTTAGAGATTATCGCAATACATCACGAGAGGCGCAGAAAGTGGATGGAGAAACCCTATCCTAACTTTTGGGACGTTTTTATTATTCTTCTAGCAAAATATTTTTTGGAAATAAAAAACTTTCACTTTAGAAAGTAAAATTTCTCAAAAATGAAATCATGAGACAGTTGGATAAACTTTAAACCTTCACCATACATACCATACCATTGATCATATTTTCTAGTTTAAAGTATTGGTACAAAATAGAATTATGTAACTCATCAAGGTAAAACCCTGGACAATATCTATTATCTTTTGTGAGCCTTGAGAAAACATATCACCGGAAAAAAAATAAAGTTGGTTTAGAGTTGCTGAAAAGTGGTTTTTCGTATTCAGCACACTCGATAACCCAGAAGATTTTCTGTTTTTGGCCCGACGTACTTCCGAAAGTTTAGAAAAAGTTTTCAAATTAATATTATTTTTCCCTGGAAAACTTTTTGCGCCATTTTGTTTCAAACTTTTTCTTAAACTTTCGGAAGTACCCTGGGCCAAAAATAGAAAATCTTCTGGGTTATCGAGTGTGCTGAATACGAAAAACCACTTTTCAGCAACTCTAAACCAACTTTACCTTTTTTGTTCCGGTAATATGGGCAGCTTTTATGTCCATTTTTCATAGTGTTCGACAGGTTTCATCGTTTTATTTATCAATTTTTCTGCTTCACTAGAAATCAATAATATATTTTCTACTGAAGACTTTGGTAAAATCACATATGCTGTTGGCAATAGCTTTTAGCTGAAATCAATTTTATAACCTTGTACAGTATCTGTAATCTACTAATTTTTTGTAATCAAACGTCAATTCGTTGAAAAAATGATTGATCTCCTGTTTCTTCAGTCTGGTAGATGCTACTTGGAATGGGAACTATTAAAGCGCTGCATGACGACCTTGTACCTGTTAACTGATCAACAAAACAAGCTAATTTTGATGAGAAACACAACACAAAACATTTTGTATACTTTCATCGTACCTATTCACTGTTTATGAGTTAGATAAATCAAAATTACCTTATTGCCATCCATTATGATGTTTACATGGAAGTTTCAATTGTCCATTAAAAATCGAATATATGGACATTTATTTGTATCGAAGAAAATCGGTAAAAATGCGACTGTTAATTGCACAATGTTAGATGACCTTGAGATGGTCCTAACATAAAGATTAATTTTTGGTTGCTCAGTATTTGAACTAGACTAGGTTTCTGTTCGCTTTAGGAATATTATAAGTCTTATACACTAATATCTTGTTTCTTATTCTAATTCTATGCTATCTATGTATTATAATCCTATTTTGATAGAGTTGAACATACGTTAAACGCGAACACTGCATGTGTTGAGGAATTCTTCGTGGTCTTAAATTACATAGCTAGTGATAGCCATGATAACTAGCGACTTCTAATTTTGTGTGGTCATAGCTCTCGCTGGATGCTGAGCACCCCTCACTTTTGCTAAATCAGGAGCGAAAAAATCAAAATTCTGCCCATAATTCTCAATTTTCTCCACTGGAACTCCCTTTTTATGCGATAAAAGTATCATCGCAGTAAATTTCCAAAAACACAAAACATAAAATTTTCACCAAAAAATGAAAATCACCGGAAACTTTCAAATCATATATCATTCGGCTCAGTGTTTGACGCTGACTCTGAATATGATACTTTTATTGCATGAAAAGGGAGCTCTAGTGGAGAAAATTGAGAATTACGGGCAGAATTCCGATTTTTTCGTTCCTGATTTAGCAAAAGTGAAATTTCTCAGCAATGGAGAGGAATTTTAAAAAAAAACGAGTTATACTTTTGTAGTTCGAATAAAGACCGCTCGAATGGCGCAAGAATGAACTTTCTATCTTTTACCAAAAAAAACTAGATAGCTTTTTCCGATGAGGTCTCCTCTTTGGAGATATCCTTGCAGATGAATTTTTCGTGCAATGATATTACATATGGGAAGCACAAAAGGCACATTTTCTAATTCGATTTTCAACGCTGAATTAGAAAAAAGCTGTTTGAGAGTTTCAAAATAAAAAGGAGAAAAAGTGTTCAACTTTTTTCGAAACGGGAAAGTTTTTCGGTTTTTAAGACCCTTCCCGTATTTTCAATTTTTCGACGCGCAAACGTGCACTGGAAAGGCTAAAAAAGCGATAATGGTAGCAATAAATAACGCAATCGAGCTATGCAGCACATGTCGACGAACATTTTGGTATAGTTTTTATGCAGTTTTGAGACTAAAAAAATCATTACACTGGAATCATCTTTTCGGAAACACCATCAGTTCGAAAAATAATTTTTTTTCTCTGAAACTAAAAAGGACAGATATAATTTTTTTACTAATAGATAGCTAGAAGTGTCTAGATTCCACATACATGCTTTTCATAAGTTTGGACTAGCTTCTCATGTCGCGATAAATAACGCAATTAATCGGCGATTTTTTTGGCTTGTCACTATGGAAACCCAGCAGAAAAATCATGATTAAACGGCAAAAGTTACTCGATTTTTATAACATCGGTTATTTCAATAAAAAAATGGATTTTACTTAGAGATCGATATTATGTAAGCTATTTTTTCCGAAATTTATAACTTGAAATGAATCTATTCTATCATATCGAGCAGATAGAACAGAGTATATCTTGATACCTTGCCATAGTTTGGATCGATTATGACTGAGTCGTGGATTTTCTAATTTTACATGAAAACAGACAAAAATGAGTTATTTCACCTAATATATTTTCCAAGCCCCTATTCATGAATCGACAGAGTAAAGTCTTCTCTACAAAATGATGAAAACCGCAGGGCTCTAGTATGTTTCATTACCGAGATATTTGAAAAATAACCAGTTCCATTCTTTTTTTCCGACAAAAGAATCGCTTCTATTCTTAAATCAACATGTTTTAATGCCACTGATGATTGCACAATAATCCGACATTCTTTTACACCATATGAGCGTTGGACATTATTGTACTTCAGAAATAACGGGATCGCCTTGTTATAAATCAACAGAGAGAAGGAACTCACGTATTTGTTCTTCATTGTGAAAATCGGCAAAACATCATTCCTCAGTGAGATAACAGAATAATTTTTATAGAACATTATTATAGATTGCCTATGACAGACATCGCAGACATATTTTAACTGTATCTAAAAGTAGACAATGAGAGACACAACAGCCTTCTTCACCTAAAATCGATCAGTACCTTCCGTCACAGTAACAGATTTATTAGAATTTTACAAAATCGTGAAGAAGTATCGTAACTATTCTGACGCTTAAGTTGAGCTGATATCAAAAACGCGTGATTTACATTATAGTAATCTAACACAGTTAAAAATCTTCCTTTTTAGTTTGAACAAAAAACGTCTACTGTTTTTTTTTCTTCTGAAATCATTCTCGAGATTTCTACAAGCGACATATTAGTGAGTAACGTTTATGCTCTATTCATCTCCCTGATGATTGAGACAAGACTTATTCATTTCGAACAGAGCCAACCAACAGCTAAATGCCCTTTCTATCATACATCAATAGCGTCTTGTTCAGAGCTGGAACCGATATAGATCCGGCCGAACCGGTTGAAAAAGTCAACAGGGCCGGTAGAGACCGGTATTTCACCGGTTGAAACCTTTAAAACATTTGCTCTTTTTACCCTGTTTTTCGTCAAAAAACTAAAATTTCACGTCTTTTCGATCAATAAATAAGACGATGTTCAAGACAGATATTATTTTCATCACTTGTTTTAAGGTTAAATGTTATAGGCTCGTTATTATGAAAGTTCTTTCAGATGTGTTCGCAAACTATTTCATTTCTGAGACTTCAAAAAACTAATCTCAAAAATAAAAAAAACTATGGAAGAAATACTGTGAAGCTTCAATCTCTATCACTTTGCGATCCGAAAAACAGTTTTTTCAATTTTAGTCTTTTATATATTGCGACATACAAAAAGCGAAGATAGTAGAGCTCTGTCAATTGGATACATTTAAAAAACATTTATAATCTCAAGTAATTGAGGAAGAATCTTTTATCGACTTCGCCAAAAATCATCATTTTCAAACTGCACGTTTGGGCATTTATGAAAATTTTTATAATTCAGTCCAAATCAAACATTTTGAGGTCGGGTTTGTTTTATCGTACAGCAAAATAAGTTTTCTCTTATATCCGAATACAATAGCTCTGTTTCTTTTGCATTGTTAAGGCCGAAAAAGTCAAATTTTCAGCTTTTTTTGAGTAAATTTTGGAAGATTATTTTAAACGAATTTTCAAGAAATTATGATTTTAAAGATATTTAGTAACAATATGAGCATTTTTCAAAATTGAGTTCATCAAGAATGAAGCATTCTCTTTGATTGAAACTTTCTGGAGATGATAATGATCAGTAGATTTATTTAAAACCAGAATTTGAGCTTAATATTTGTTGATTTTGTTGTCTATGATATATCTCTTGTAATACGCTAAAAAATCTAATAAACGCTGAGTCATCAAGGCCAGAGGCGGACAAATTCTCATATGGTTCTTTGCTCTCTTGGTCCCGTACTGATGCCTAAAAGATGAGCTCAAAAGTGAAAAGTAACGTTTAGAGGTGCCACGTCCATAGTCGAACTCTTGATATTTATACTCAGATTTCGACAGTTCTAGTCGAAGTCTTGGTATCCATACTAGACTCGCAATCGGAGCTTGAATAATCGTACTCTAGTCCTATCCAAGATATCTCGTACTGGTCCAACTCTGTGTAGTATCTTATTTTTCGGACTTTTCTACACATTTTTGTTGAAATTCATGTTGATATAGGTTTTATAGCCGTTTTGATATTCAATGCTGTCACCGGCGAATCGTAGATAAGCAAATACATGACTGCCTTTCCGATGATGATGTGAAAAGACTATCGTCTCAGGACGATGAAATGGTGTAAATACAAACATTTTTCTCATGTCTGTCATTCTGAAACAGATAATGTTGCTTTAGGAAACGGTAGCTGCACGAAGATACTTTAGTGTGCAATCATATATGATGCACTAAGTCCATTCACACTTTTTGCTAATAGCGAGGTAATTGATTGAAGATGGTTTCCTATATACCATTCGACGCGCCTCAAGCTGCTCTTCAAGATAGCATATTGGGTTTCTCAATTCAGATATGGTCATCAAATCCGACAGGGTGCTTTTCAATCATAAAAGTCCTCTCTCCTCTTTTGATCTGATTTCACGGTTAACAACGCATCAAAGTTCTCGATTAGGTCATGATAGTCGCGTGTTTATTCCTCGTTTAATGTCAAAATCTGCATCTAGCTCTTTTCTTCCGCGAAAATCAAAAAATCGAAATGAACTACCTTCTGTTTTAGCCTGTCAAACTTCTTTAGCCACATTTAAAAATATGCTGAGATTTTTACACAGGCTTTTAAAAATATATTTTTTTAAATTTTTATTTTAGGTTATCACAGGGTATTCACGGATGCCAATAAATGTAAAATAAAATAAATAAATGTAAATGTAAATGTAAAATAAAATCTTATCTTATCTTAGCATTATTCGACGTCTATAGATTTTCTTTCGTTCGGATGATGCACAAAATTCTTTAAAACCATTAGAAGACCGAAAGTTCTTAGATATTAGTAGTAATCTTTTAGTTTTTACAGATTTCTTCATTCGTAATAGATTGAGTCTTTAATGAGACTCTTAATTCTGTCTTTTCTTTTTGGATTGATCATAAATCACTTTCAAAAAATGGCTTTTTTTCAGTTCAATAGCGTTGAAGTCTGTCCTCATGCTAGTCCACAAAAAAGTGAACGATTAAAAATACTCGATAAGATAAAAACACATATCCATTTTATTATACAAACAGATCCCACTTTAACTATTTTAACCAACATTGCAAATGGTGTTTATGATAAAACTAAAGCAGAAAATATTGTAAGACCAAAACCATTATCAAACTTTAGTGAGTCCTCCGTCACCGAAGAACAACAGCTTGAATTATTCAGAAAAATACATATATTATTATAATATTATTTTATACTACTAGTAAGACGCTGAATTTTATTCAAAATTTCAAGATGAGAAGTAAACAAACGTCATATCCAATGGTGAACCTGTTTCAATGTATACATACTTCGAGTTCCAGATTTTTGAATTAGTTAAATTGATTATAAGAAGAAAAATTCCAAAAAAGCTCTATCTATATAAAAATACGCTGGACTAAGTTTAATATACTTGCTCAAATATGTTTCAAATAAAATACTGTATTACAATAGTATCTGTTTTCAATTATTAAAATTTGAATAATCTCAAGAATCCACTAATACCCCCTCCCCAACTGAAACACGTATACAATGCCATACCCCATAATACAATCAAAGAAAGGTCGAGAATTCCTGCACCAATCCTTCGTCCTTTGCTTCCTGCACGTCGATAACCTTGATTATACACTTCACGTCCAACGATATAAAGCAAACCAAACAGTGCAGCTAATCGAGGTTGCGCAAGACCGGCTACTAGCAAACCTGTTATCGCTGCAAAAGCACCCTAAAATTAGAAAAAATCAAATGATAGTAAGAAATATTGAAATAAAACATGTACAGACAGGGGACAGACTGTTTTCCGAGAATGGTTTTCTTTTTTTACACTTTTCACACTCTAGATGTTCATAAAACTACGAGTAGCGATAAGAGGAAAGCCTGGTAAAAAGGTACACACACTCAAACTGATCAAGTAACAACTTTTTGAGAAACTTTTCTACTTTAAGTCATACTTCAGCTGTTAGACTATTTAACAGAAAACGACCATTCAGAAACAAGGATTTATCACATGTCTAAACAAGGTTGTTACTCGTTATCAATTCTGGAATACTGTATATTACTATCACTAGTGTTCTGCACCACAAAGTGTTACAAAAAAACTTGACATGTGAAAATGGAATCTATATGTCATGAAAAACAATTCGACATTACAGAATAGGCAAAGAGTATTTTAAATATATCAGATAATTTAATTTTTATGTACCTTCTAACTATTAAATAGGAAGGTATTTAATCGTTTGATTGACATTTGTGTCTAGGTAAGTTTTGAATATTTTAGATGCAGGAGTCGCTTATTAATTATAAATAATATTCTGATACCTATCGCAAGATTTATATTTTACTTGAATTATATACTCTGATCTCAGTTTCGGGTGAGAGTTTGTTTTCTGTCGTGAAACTAATCAATAATCACTTGAAAAATAGTGCTCACTAAGACAACGAGAAAAAAATTATACTGTCAAAAAAAAGTTTATTCTGGATACGGACCTATGTAAAAAGGAATTTTTGACTTCTCCTATGCTAGAAAAACAACAACTATTCAAAGTGTTTTTCTCTCTTGTCGTGGGCAAAGATATTTCAAGCAGTTTTACTTTCTCAACGTGCCTCAATATAGTTGTAATGTGCTCGTCTATAATTATTAAGTTTGAACCAGTCTTTGTCGTTTAATTTGTCACTGATTCGACCTTGGCCATCGTCTGGATACCCACTATCTTGACTCGTCTCGTTTCCTGCTTTCCAGTCAGGAAAATGTTTGTCATAAAATTGCTTATTGAAAAGTGTTCTTCGAAGACCACCCATAAATATTCCCGTCACAACAATGTGTATGCCAATGAGAACAGCCTCAAGCAAGACCCACGCATAGGCTTCTGGAATGACAATTTTTGTAAGTGAAGTCATAATTGTATCTGAAAAAGTAGGAAGCAGACAATGCAAGTGGATGGTTTTTAATTAAATCTCGCCATCTCAATGTAGGATTTTCACACCAAAAAGAATGTTAATATTGTCGCATTATTAAAAAGAATACTACAATACCACGAAACTACCTTGTTTATATCTAACGTACCTTTGTAGTCACACAACAGAAAAACGAAATTTTTTCTTCTTATACTTATACAGAAAGAGTGTATGTGTATTTTTGTTCTCTGCACTTTTAAGAAACATGTGCTTCGTCCAGTGACGTGTACTTAATAGACACGTCAAAAAAGTCAAAAACACAGAAACGATTGCTAATGCTAATATAAGTAAAAGTAAAGGTTTTGCTTCTTTATCAGTGATTCATTTGTCTCCTGTCTATGTTTTTTTTTATTGGATATTATGTCGCCATGACTGTTATGTGGCTCAGAAAACTAGACACTATCATAAAGCGAAGCTTGAGACTGAGCCATCATCATATCAAGACAAACCTCCGTCATCACTATTAAAAACAATGACGGAATAGATTGACTAATCATATCAGTAGATGCTTAGAAAATTTACTTTTTCTGTAACAATCACCAACGAAGTTATTTGTAACCGATTAAGAACGACATCTCTTTTTGATATAGTCAGTGAAAAAATGTTCAGAACATGTCACCGGAAAAAAAAATAAAGTTGGTTTTGAGTTGCTGAAAAGTGTTTTTTCGTGTTCAGCACACTCGATAACCCCGAAGATTTTCTATTTGTGGCGTTTTTCAGATCGCCATGTGGCAGACATTATTTGAAATCTAGTAACATATTCCGATTGTCTATTTACCGATGAAATGCGATTTCAGGGTGTGATGCGACCTGATGATATGAAGATTTTTATGAACTATACAATAGGATTATTGAAATTTCTGTAACTCGTATGTCTGTATCGGGTGGTCCAAATTAAATGGTGATCTCAGTATTTCGTCAATATTTCTTTTAGTTTTCATTGTTTACACTTGAACTTTTTCCAATAGATTTCTTGTTCAATTCTCTACTCTCTATGTACAAGGATGTTTGATCTCAAATTTAAATATGCAAAATTGAACTAATAATACTGTAAAACTTCAACATGTTCAACTTTCTAACGCACTTTTCTAAAAAAACGTCGATGGTTTCTATGATTGTTCAAATGAAACAAGTCGCGGTCGCAACTTTTTTTTGTACAATTCAGAGTGTTCTTACTCGGGATGCAGAGTAAACTCAGTTTCAAAAAGTATTACGACTTAAGAACTATATAATTTCCTCAAATTGAGTAAACGAACAGAATTTAGCGTATTTTGCTCATTGCATTCGGAAAAAAAGATTTTAAAATTCAGAAATCTGGGTTGCGATATGCCATTCAGTCCTCTTTAATATAAAATTAAAATAAGCTTTGAAAAAACTATTTTTGAGCGACATATGCAAATCTTCTGAATGCCCTGAAACTGCTGTCTCAAATCGTGATTTTTGGAAAATGTCAAAAAAGAAAAATTTATCATGCACTGCACATTGTGACGTGAGGAAGTTTTCTGTCACAACTTAAAAATAGAGCTTTTGAAGCGCTATAATGATGGCTAGTTCATTTTCTTAATGCCTCAAACTGCGAACAAATAAAAGCAAGAAAGTCTATTTTTTTTGCCAGAGAGTTTAGAAAGTGGAAGGGTTAAATCTTACGGAAAATCACAGAAACGGATTCATCTTATAAAATCTTATAAAAATCATACAAGCATCTTACGAAATCTGATAAAATCTTACTATAAGATCTTACATCAAGCATCAGTTTCTATGTTTCCTACACAATCTTAGAAATTCGTATACGGATCTGATGAAATCAGACGAAATCGTACAAGAATCTTATAAGATCTTACAGTAAGATTCTTCGACCTGGGTTGAAGCTTCACATTATTATTAGTTCAATTTTGCATATTTAAATTTGAGATCAAACATCCTTGTACATAGAGAGTAGAGAATTGAACAGGAAATCTTTTGGAAAAAAGTTCAAGTGTAAACAATGAAAACTAAAAGAAATATTGACGAAATACTGAGATGGCTATTTAATCTGAACCACACGATAAGAACGGGACGGAGCTGTATGGAAATACTCATGAGCAGTATTCGAATTGTCTCTATCTTTTCGAACTTACAGAGCCAAAAGAATACTATCTTTGTACAGAAAAAAGGGGTCTCAAGTGATGTATTTAGCTGAAGTCGTTACAGACGTGACATGGAGAAATATCCAGTTTCCAGGCAGTAGGCAGTTATTGTGAGTGAGAATCACGCCAGTTTCAATCATTATCAGGTTGAATATACATCGGCTGTGATTAGAGCGATAACTGGTTCCCATATGTTCTGGCAAGTTCTTGATGGGAACCGACTGAAACTCGATATCAGCAATTATCTAGCCTCAACTTTCAATTGAACAAACAGGTGGAATATCAAAATATCAACTTAAGAATGGGAAATATGCAAAAAAGCGTTTTTAATTCTATACCGAATATACACCATCTTGCGAATAAAGAGCAGCAAAAACTTAACTTTAACAAAAAATTATTCCAATGAATTTTGATTTATTTGTATTCCTTATACTACGATGATAGAGAGCGACCACTGTCACCAGTTCTCGAGAGATTTGTATCTTTCACTGGGGAATTCATTGAAGCGAAACAGATAACTATTTTGTCTATACACTTTATTTCTTTTGCTCTCTCAAGTATTTGTTTCGGGTAAAATATGTCCTTTTCGAATGGCTACAACGGTATTTTTTGAAATAAAAAAGTGCTGGTAGGGTAAATTAAAAAGTTTAATATTCGGGATGTTTAATGCCAATTTACCATCGCTTCTCGGTATGTTTCTTGTTTCCCTTGGTTTCATGAATGTATCGCCAAGAATCAACTCTTCTGTACACGAGTTTGTAGTGAGTTTATTTATGTGTAAAACGGTGTCTATAGTTTATTTACTGAAGTAAATATCTGTTCTAGAAGTTAGAATTGCAGCATTTTCAAAAAATCAGTCCATTTACATTTCTACGTGATATACCGGTTGATTATATACAGATAGGATGTGGAGTATTTCTGCTTGTCGAAGGAGCACTAATGCATCTTCAGGAAGGTAAGTCACAGTTTTTTTTCTAGTAATTGCCAAATATGATTGTTTTTTTCGTATTTTAGGTTTAATTCGCCTTTTTGCTAGTGTTCCATTATTTTTGTTTTTCATGATTTTTTTACAAACCTCGATTATTACTGGAACCTCGTTATCACTGTCTTTTATGTACTTTCTCGTAATGACATCAGTTAGTGTCGTTCTATTTATGGATTGTTCGGCATTGGAAGATTTAGACATTAAATAAACTTAATGAGCTTTGGTATCATACAAAGTGTCAGTGGTTTAGAATGTTTCAACGCTTCCTCGAATGAGCCTAAAAATTTCCCTGAAACAAATTGGAATGATGACATGTCCGTTTTCTCTTCGAAAACCGTATGACTTCAAGAACACTTTCAAGAGTTTCTCTAAAATATTTTTTGTCGGCGTATTTCTTGTTCCTTGGCTTCATGAACTTTTTTGCCAAGAATCAATGCTGCTGTACACCAATTTGTAGTGAGTTTATTTTATGTGTAGAACGGCGTCGAAAGATTACAGTATCATAGTACGGCATGTATAATGTCCAGGGAATATCGATTTTTCTGTTTTGAAGAATAGTTTGGACTATAGTTGGAAAATTTTGTCTGTATAAGTATGATTCATATAGCCTAAGTTAAGAGCCTAGATCGGGAACATGGAACGGCTATTCCTTGTGTTACTTAAAATGCTAGGCACACGAGATCTACAAGTTAAAGAAACTCTAAGTTTTCCTTTTTAATGAACAATATGTTTTGAATTAATACTGTGATCGTTTGTGTATTTTTACTGTTTATTTACTTAGTTTTACTAAATGTTATTTTAAGTTACACATCATTATACAGCTTATCAGCTCAGTACTAGGCTAAAAGAATATCACGAACGAATAAAAAGACGTTAAGATATAATGAGATGAAATATTATTTTAACAATGATTGTATTCAATCTTAATCTGTCTGTACATTTAAATGAGAAAGTTGTGCCGTATTTAGAGAAAACTTTTTAATTAAGTTTTCTGTTGAATAACCTTGTTTTAATAACGTCTCATACATTGTCATCATATTTGTACGATATCTAGAAAAATCCATATAGTTTAAGCGAATCATTTGTTCAATGACATATACCATAATCCATGACATTCAGAATATTTCCGTTCAATTTAGGATAGTTAACTATTCAGAAATCGAACTTATTTCATTTATCAAACGTTGTCTGTTTTATCGTGTCTCGCACTATCTCTATCTCAAAATCTAAGAATGTTGCCTTCCGATCACTTATATTTTTTCGATTTAAAGTTAATTGTGACGAATAGATTATAGATTGATGTGGACCAAACTTATCAGTGGAGTCTATTGTAATCAAATTATTAATATATCTGAATGTTCGAATGTTGAATAGAGTATATGCGTGTTCTTCTCAAAAGACTCAAACTTTGACTTATATAAAAATAGATTTGGATCTATACCCGTT